TAATATAGTGACACCTCTTCTCATCATTCTCAATAACGGCCAGTAATTTATTATCTATTGATTTTGTTACTTTTTTTCTTACTTCAGCAGATTCATTTTCCGACATGCTAGTTTTAATTGCTTCTCATAGTTCTACTTTGCCACCTTCATATAATTCCATCTTCCCAATTGGCCATAGATTTTAAATCGGACTCAGATCAGGACTTGATATTAGCCATTCCATTATAGTCTTCCCTGTAAATCTTTTATGCTCAAAGAATTCACCGATAAGCTTAGATATATGAGAAACTGTAAAACTATGGTTTGTACAATGCAAAGAAATTCTTATCATAAAATCACCATAGTTAGCACTGTTCAGTTTAAGGTCTTCACCGACTTTGAATAATCCAATAATGGTTTTGAAGACAATTCCAGGTCATATTATTACACTACCGCCTCCTTGCAGCCACAGGCACGTCTGAATTGGAAAAATCCGTCCTTTTGGTCCATATCACTGGTTATTCATCCGTGAAAATTAGTTCAGTTATATCTATTATCATGTATTTGTTGGGCCAATGCGATGCTTTAAAATATTTGCTTTAGTGAGAAAAGGTTGCCTAGGAGATTTATTTACAGGTCCCAATTCACAAATATTCTACAGGTTTTGTCTTTCTTGACTCTCTCAACTCCAGCTTTTTCAAAGATCTGAGCGCTGGTCAAAAGTGGGTGTTTCGCTATAACTCGTTTTAGTTTACTTTCATCTACAGGAAGCACATTCTTAAAGCCATTTCCTTAACTTTGAGTTCTCAACTTATATTTTCAAAAGCTTTCTTTGTCGTTTGATAATCTCTGCATATCTCTTTTGATATCTCTAAGTTGGACATTCCCTCACACATAAAGTTATTTTCTGTTTTTCAACAGTTGTGAGAACCTTCCCTTTACCCATGTTTCAACATATATTATGGATCTTCATATAAGAAGAAAATGAATAACTACTGACACCAAAGTTCGAGCATAGACTTTAGACCTTAGCTATAGTTTCTGGGAAATAGCGTGTTATCTAGCGTCATCAACAATTTGAACAAGGCCAGCACACTCAAGCCCTCGGCTACGACTACTTGTGACTTCGTGTCTAGCGCAGCTATCGACGGTCTCTCAAGTGTTCCGTCTACACAATTTCACTCACAAGTCTTGGCTATGATTTTCATGCACTTCCCAAATATACCGCATCCCCCACTCCAGACCGATAACATCAGGAAGTCTCCTTCGTGACGAATCAACCGTGGTGAGATACGAACCCGGGTCTCATGGTCAGAATGCAACTGTTCTAACCACTCGGCCTCGCACCCGTAGATAGGCAAATGGATAGATATTCATAGACTGAGATAGATAGATAAACAGACTGAGATAGATAGATAGATAGATAGATAGATAGATAGATAGATATGAACAGAAAGACAGATAGTAATTTTATAAAAGAGATAGATATGTATGTATGTATGAATGCATGTATGTATAGATAGATAGATATGAACAGACTGAGATAGATATATAGATACATATGAACAGAGGCAGATAGTAATTTTATAGATAAAGTAATAGATATGTAAGCATGTATGTATGTATAGATAGATAGGTATGAATAGAATGATATAGATAGATAGATAGATAGATAGATAGATAGATAGATAGATAGATAGATAGATATGAATAGAATGAGATAGATAGATAGATATGAATAGAATGACATAGATAGATAGATAGATAGATAGGTATGAATAGAATGACATAGATAGATAGATAGATAGATAGATAGATAGATATGAATAGAATGAGATAGATAGATAGATAGATAGATATGAATAGAATGAGATAGATAGATATGAATAGAATGACATAGATAGATATAGATAGATAGATAGATAGATATGAATAGAATGAGATAGATATGAATAGAATGACAGAGATAGATAGATAGATAGATAGATAGATAGATAGATAGATAGATAGATAGATATGAATAGAATGAGATAGATAGATATGAATAGAATGACATAGATAGATAGATAGATAGATAGATATGAATAGAATGACATAGATAGATAGATATGTGGAATAGAATGACATAGATAGATAGATAGATAGATATGGATGGATGAATAGAATGAGATAGATAGATAGATATGAATAGAATGAGATAGATAGATAGATATGAATAGAATGAGGATAGATAGATAGATAGATATGAATAGAATGAGATAGATATGAATAGAATGACATAGATAGATAGATAGATAGATAGATAGATAGATAGATAGATAGATATGAATAGAATGAGATAGATAGATATGAATAGAATGACATAGATAGATAGATAGATAGATATGAATAGAATGAGATAGATAGATATGAATAGAATGAGATAGATAGATATGAATAGAATGACATAGATAGATAGAATAGAATAGATAGATAGAATAGATAGAGATAGATAGAATGAGATAGAATGACATAGAATGACATAGATAGATAGATAGATAGATAGATAGATAGATATGAATAGAATGAGATAGATAGATAGATATGAATAGAATGAGATAGATAGATATGAATAGAATGATAGATAGATAGATAGATAGATAGATAGATAGATAGATATGAATAGAATGGCATAGATAGATAGATAGATAGATAGATAGATAGATAGATAGATAGATATGAATAGAATGACATAGATAGATAGATAGATTGTGCTGAATGGTAATGGTCAAACTTCATTCATATATTTTGATCAAGATCAACGTGACATAACTGCACTGACCGGGAAATGTAAATTTAGTTGAGAATTCATGAAAAATTGGAACTAGCTTACAGAAATCTTGGTAGACGACGATCAGCAGACAAACATGGAAACTGTAATCAAAATCAAATGAATTCATAAAGTCAGTCTCTCCTAAATGAACTTTAACCTTGTTGTTTCTAACTGTAAGTGGTTACAATTACAAATTAGTCATATCATTTTGTTAAGGACTCAACTTTTTCCTACCTACTTTCCAAATTCTTTTCTCCCTCGTCCTCTCTCCTATTTATAATCGTACTATTGTCCTCTCTTTTAATGCTATTATCACAAAGTTTCGGCCGATATGTTCTTCAGCCCTCTTTACATGACTGACGATCCGGGTAATAGTTAATTTCTACAGGTATCACAATTACTTATATTATTTATATGATGACTAATGTTATCTTCGTTGTTGCTATTATAAAAATCTTTCAACAGATAAGCCGTCCGGCTTCTTCAACTAACAGTCGATCCGGGAAACAGTGAAGAAATTTCTGGGAAGATATGTCATATTTATTCATATTATTTACAAGTCTTCTTTTGTTAATAGCTGTAGATATATTCTTGATTTCTAGATACAGCCAGTATATTGTTTGAGTTCATAATCAAGGTGATAAAGCGTCGATTTTTTTTTGTTTTTTTAATAAGGGGTTTCATCAAATTTAAACGCGTTTTGAAATGGAGTTATGAATCATGTCCATATTTTTGACAGGTATGGTACTTTGTCCAGAGCGATATGCGTTACGAACTGACCATCAAGGTGGCAAAACCAAATTCCTGCTCCAACCACGACTGGAACTTCAAGCACCACCAGAAGTCAGAATCCCCATCAGCGGACTGGACCTGAAGAATTCTGAACAATAGCAATACTTTGATAGCGTACAAAAATCAAATGCTGAAAAAGACGTCAATAACCGAATCATGACCGCCCATGAAAAGATAACGAAAGGATTTTTCGGCAGTCCTGGGCTAACATAAAACAGCAAACTCATTGGCTACAGAGCTGTTGTAATCACGACACTCTTGTATAAGACCTGACTATTCTACCAAAAAAGACATCCGCAAACTAGAAAGATTCCATCAAATGTAACTTCGTCAAAGCCTGCGAACTATTTGACAGGTCCGGATCACGAAAAAACGATGGTCTTCTCCATGTAAAGATGGAGATCCTTGAGACCATCATTTCTCGCCACCGATTTTCATGAGCCGGACACCTTACCCGAATACCAGATATCAATCCGCCAACCCAAACAAATTCCCGTTCTGGGTATGACGATAAACGACATCCGCATCCTGGGCAAAACGATAAACTACATCCAACTGCAAGGCCTTTAATCAGGAGGTTTGACGAGCATTGAACCACCTCTTAATTGCTAGTGTTCCCAGGTCCACTCTGATCCGGAGTGGTAGCACCTGTCAGGGTCCCATCTATGGGCAAATAGTTAACTACTCCAAAAGGGCTCAAAAACTATGAATTTATAAAAATAGTTGTTTTTTTTTTAATACCAGCAATATTTTATTGGAAAAATTATTACCAGAAGTACATTTTAAAAAAAATCATATATATATATATATATATATATATATATATATATATATATATATATACTGCGTGCCAAATTATTATCGAGATAACATTTTTTCTAATATTTCAAAAACCGTACAAACAATTCACACAAAATTTTCACACAATGTTGGCAACACTGATCTGCGCAATGTAAACAAACTGGCGCCATATTTGTTATCAGCACGGTGATTTGAGCGTGCCAAATTATTAGAAAAATGTAAGAATTTAGTGAAAAGATGGGCCGTAAAAGCAGTTTAAGTGATGCTGAAAAGAAAACTATCACCTCAGAACTCTCAAAAGGTAAATATACCATATAAATTTCTAAAATGATAGGGAGGTGTCATCAAAGAGTGAAAAAGTTCGTCGCCGACCCTACACAAGTACGCAAAAGCTCAGATAAAGGCAAACCAAGGGTTATTTCACGTCGTCTCATGTCACGACTTAAACGAGAGGCCACGAATAACCCTGGACTTTTCAGTCGCATTGGGGATCCTACTGTGTCTAAAAGTACTCGGTGTCGGTATCTGAGGGAAATAGCAACAGCAGTCCAACCTGTATCGAAGCTTCAGTTGACGAGAAATCACATTCAAAATTGATTGAAATGGGCCAAGGACA